TTATTAAGAAGGTTTTCAAGTGACCGGTTTTGTTCCTGTGCCTATACTTCTAATCTCAGAATTTACGCAACAGGTTTCCAGTTCATGGATTATTTCTTCGAGAAGAAATCACTAATAGTTTCCATCTAATTTTGAAACAGATGATTCACTTGAGTTCTTTACCTACATACTGTTTGTTTTAATTTGAAATTGCAAGTGTATCTGATAAAAAGGAAGAACTTTCTACCAATGGTGTGACCCCAGTGATGGATGCTGACCCTCAGAAGGCCATCTGCTCCCTCACAAGAGCTGTGTCAACAGAGGGTTGGAACAGAACAGGGAAGATGTCAGAAGAGCTCTGACCCAGGCTATGAGAACAGAAGGGCTATAGCAGGGACCTCTGGGGGGACCTCCCATTCCAAACATCTGTAATTCTGAAATTTATATGCAGACCACACTAAGAGATGGGTCGGTTCTTGATGTTCTACTCAAGAAGCAAGGTATAGAGTGTTCCTTTTTTCCCTTTAAGCAAAGGCAGTAGATTTAATATAAGATCACAGTAAAAGTCTGACATTTCTACTCTGTGAATCTGGGCTAAAGCTGAGATTTGATTTTGAAATATGAACATAAACTGTAACTGCCTCAATTTAAGTCACTAGGATTTATATTTATATATAACCTTTAAAGTTCTCCCAACTTTTACCCTGGAGAAAGGAGAAAATTATAGTCATCTCACTGCTGGAAGGCTATAGTGGCTTTCTTTCTAGGTTAATGGAAAACTTACACTGCTTTTGCCTGGCTTTCCAGCAGCTTCCACCCTCTTCTGACTGATGCAAACTCTCACACTTGGGGACATCGCTGTAAGTCTCCCATGTTAAACCGAATGCTTTTTTGTGGCTCAATCACTTCAAAAACATTTTTTTCTTGAGACTTTTAAGCACACTATTTGTTTTGAAACTGTCCCTTCATAGTGCAGAGCTCCTGCTTAATGTTCTTATTGCTTGTGGCTAAGCCATTTTCACTCAGAAAATGACTCCACTGCGAAGCTGCTTGTGTTGCTACCACTCAGGCTGTCATGGGGCCTGTCTCCCTATTCACCTCCCAGTCACCAATCTACCCATGGGCTCTGCTCTCTTTATGTGTGGAATCAAGTCAGAAACACACAGTGTCAAGATGGAAAGAATCAAACCTTTATACTCACCTCGATTAAGGGATGGAAATATTGAAGTATGGCAGGAGCATCGCAAAACAAAAAAACAGCTTTGACCCCTGGATTTTTATCTCTTCTTTGACAGAGAGACTAGGCAAATTGAAGCAGGACCCCAAATGGTTGCAAGGAGAGCTGCCAGCTAGCACAATGGACAAGCAGTTTCCTTTCAAGTGGGCTGGTAGAGTGTTTTTATCATCTATCAACACACACACACACACACACACACACACACACACACACACACAGAGAGAGAGAGAGAGAGAGAGAGAGAGAGAGAGAGAGAGAGAGAGAGAGAGAGAGAGAGAGAGAGACTATACATAATGAAGGCTAGAAAAATGCTGAAATACCATATAATATAGGCTGGGTGACTTCTTGTCCATTCACATGTAATTAGACAGAGCCTGAGACCTGAACTTGAGAATGACACTTTCCTAGAAGAGCCAAACACATGGTAAGGTAACATGGTTATAAAGGTTACACAGAAGTATGGTAGTGCAGGAGGCTGATGTGTCACTTTGGAAACTGATCTACAAATGATGGGCATGTGAAGGTGATTTGTGTGCCCATGGCAGACCTACCCAAGACCTTGGGATGGACACAGGATTCCAAATGTCCTTTCCTCATGCCCCACCTACATCAAAGCTGGCTTGCTCATCACCTTTGAAATGTTTTTCATTTGTAGCTGATGTGCCTCCAAATACATTGGCATTCTGAATATGAAGGTGCCTTTCCTCTGAATTTACTCTGTGCTATCCTGCAGCAGCTCACATGGGAGTGGCCAGCCTCTCTGGAAAGGTGGTAATACTTGTCTACCTTCCTCTAGGCATTGTAGGAATTTAATGAGACTTCATGCCCAGCAGGATTGTGGAAGCCAAAAGGCTGTATAGAGAGCTATTTCTAATTATTGCTCTTGGTTATTGTTAGGAACCAGGAAGTTAACAGAGGCAAATTACTATGTAGTGAATTCATGAATTAATTTAAATATACCACACAATTTAATATTCACTCATTCACTGGGTTTTTTGAGCACTTACTAAGTTTCCTGGCATATGCAATCCCTTGATGAACCCAGTGCCCACCTTTAAAGAACACTGACCTATGGCAAAGAAGAGATGAAAAGGAATTGTAATTTGAGCAAGAGAGTCTTATGGTTGAAATAATACAGGATGTGGAGACTCAGGGACACATACCAGTAGGTGAAAGGCATCAGTAAGTCATTGGAAGGGATGGTTCCTGAGATGAGCAGGGGATAGGAGACCCAGGAGAAAAGGTCAGGAGTTGAGTATTCCAGGCAGAGGGAGCCACATGAACAAGTTAAGACAAAGGAAGAATGGTTTGGTAGGAGGAATTCTATTCTCTAGATGATTAAAGTGGAACAAACACACATCACACAGACAGACAGACAGACAGACAGACACACACACACACACACACACACACACACACACACACACACACACACGAGAGGGGGAATTCGTATGCCCATAATAGACCCACAGGGATGGACACAGGATTCCAAATGTCTACTCTCCTCCAGCCCCACCTGTGTCAAAGCTGGTTCACTCACCACCTCTGCAATCAATATCTTTTATTTCCAGGGATCTTTGTAACTGCTGATACCCTGTAGGATCTTAAAGATGTCCCACCCTCTCTGGAAGGTTTCATTTTCCCTGAGCTGACCTCACCTCTAGCCACACCTTTTGATTGTTTGCCTCTGACTCTGTCTCCACTCACAACCTCAGGATCCCATGAACAAGCAATTCTTGAATTCTTCCTTATGTATTCAGAACTGGGGCTCTAGGAGCAGACCCCAGGTACCCTGATTCCAGGATGTGACTCTTGCCTTTCCACTGCCTTGCATTCTATTATTACAACTAAAATAGAGATGTTCTGGTTCCCAGGGTCTAGCTGGAGAGTAAGGCTTCACAGACAGACCAACTTAGCGCACCTTATATGTAGAATATGGCCTGGCCTGCAATAGCAGAATACCTTAATGGTTGGTAACAAGGCAGGAGGAACAAAGCATTATACAACTTTGCAACTGAAGGCCACCTCAAAGGCATTTTGTTGCTATTGTTTTCTTTCTTGTGTCTGGCTCTCTCTCCCCAGCACCCTCCATGTGACCAGAAGTGGAGCCCAGACTTGATGGTGGACCAGTTTCACTTCCTGGGTGGGGGCTGTGGGGGGAAGTTATGGTCTGAAGTCTCTAAGTTTTGCCATCATTTCACAAAAACCTAGGAAAGACTGATTTCTTCCTAAAAGACACTTGACTTGTCTCTCCAGTATGCTCCTAGATTAGGTCCAAGAAACAGAAAAACAAGCCAGGAAGGGAGGGGAACATTTGCAGTTGTGTGAATAGGAATGCTGGTGTTGTGCTCAGGACCCAACCACCTGAAACCTTTGCAAGGTGATTTAGAACTAGCCACTGGCTAAACTGTCTCATGTGAGGGCAAGGCACCAGCTGTGTTGTATACTAGTGTCCCATTCACCAATGGGGCCGGGACTGAACCAGGTGTGTTAACTATCAGCATTGGTAGACACTTTTGTGTGGGAAGCTCAGAATATTTCCACAACCAGAAGATGGTCACAGGAAAGTTATAAGGGCTCTGGACAGCAAGTGACAGTAAACAGAACTCATGAACACCCAGCGTGCTGTCAACCTCTGCCCCACTTGCTAAATGCCCTTTGCCTCCTGGCCCATGTCAGTAAATCTCCCAGCTCTGCCTTACCAGACAGATACTAAAAGAAAACACGATTCTGAGGAAAAATTAATAGAGTCAGTATTCATAGACAAGTGTGTGAGATCCCTATGTCAAGGGAGCCTGTTACATAATCTTACACCTTTTGCACATACCGACCTTTTACTTTGTACAACTTCTAGAAGACTCCACGCCAACACCCAAAGTCCAGTTCCTGTTATCATTCTTCCGGTTTGCCCTACACTCATCACTTACTTCAGTAACAGGCTGCTAGCTCCACAGTAGCATCTTCACTCTGCAGTTTCAGGTCATCTGTGTCCATTATACCCGTAACTGATAACGTCAGTCATCATCTCTAGTTCGGAATGAGAAGCCTAGCATGGAGCCCTTTAGCATGATTAGCACATGGCACATGACTTCAGGTTCATTAAGAGACCATGGCTGAAAAATAAGCATCTACCTCTGGCTCCCACATGCATATGCTTGTACATGAACATGTAGGCATAGGCACACATACACATAAAAGGTCCAGGGCATCTTTAGCTACATAGTAAGTTTGCAGCCAGCCTGATCTACATAAGACCTCTGTCAAAACAGAAGGAAGGTCAGTTAGAGGTCAATTTTAGACTCTGCCCCTGGTGAAATTCCTTTTTTCCCAGATTTTCATTATAATCTACCCACAAATGACTTGGGTGAATGGTTGGAGAGGCAGTCAGAAGGAAGCCATAACTCTCAATCAGGGTCCATGAAGAAAGACAGAACATGCTGTACTCTGAGACAAAGGCACAGGGGAGTCAGAAAGTCATTGGAAATAAAAATTTGGAGGTAGCAGAAAGAGGAGAGGTTCAGAGATGTGGCTGTGTCTGCAGGTCAGTCATATGGAGTTTGATTTGTCAGCAGTTGGAGTGAGAGATCATTGGCATGGTAGCCAAAGGCATTGAAGAGGACCATGGGAGCAGGGGAAGGGCCATTCTCAGCTACATCTGTGCCATTCAGCTGACTTGCCTGAGACTCAACTGTTTCTGATACCCAAGGAGTCTCCTCCCAGGCAGCCAACTCCCCAAGTGTCTGCCCCACTATCCACAGAGCAAAGTCCATAGCACCTGGAAGAGTATATGAACCCAACAAGCATTTATTGACTTCTTTTGTTTACAAGTACAAAGTCATGTTGGACATAACCGTTGATCCCTGTTCATATGCATGAACTATCTAGAAAGGAGACAGCACTACAGGGCAATGTGATAAAGGCCACAGGGACGCAGCCTATGCACTGTGAGGGCTGAGTAGGACCTTGACCCAAGTTGAGGTATTTGGAAAGCTTCTTGGGAACCTTCTCAAGGTCACAGACTCTGGTATATTTCATGGAAGGAGTTTTAACAGATGAAAGCAAAGGGATAAAGACTGGAGTGTCCACCCCCAGGCTGTCCTTTCTGCTCCCTAGGGCTGTTTGATTCTTGTTGCTTTTAACATATTTTGTCTCTCTGGCTGGACACTAAGCCTAGGCCTAGGCTATGGAGACTTCAGGAGTGAATGTAAGGGAAGAAGAAGAATTAGAACTGTGCCAAGGAGAATCCTGGTCTAGGAGTGCTGTGTCCTGGACACCTGTCTTTTACCTCTGCCTTTCACTCTTATGGGATTGGCAGCCACAACTGGGAACCCAATGGGATGATAAGTCCCTCTTCACTGAAATCATGCTGAACATTACTGGGAGCCAAGGAGGACAAGGGAGACGGAGAGAGAAAACAGAAAGGGAGAGCAGATAAGAAAAATAGGGAAACACAGTGTACTTGGATAGAATTCTCTACTCATTTTCTTACTATGTGTATAACCTGAAGATATACATACCAATGGAGATTCTTGAACAAACCGTGGAAATGATGTTTTTGAGGTAGGGTTACAGGGCAGTATAGCAGAAAGAAAGCTGAACTTGGAGACCCAGTGTGAGTCCTGCTGTGTGACCCTGGGCAGTCCTAGTGGTCGCTCCATTTCATGTCTCCACGTGTCAAGTATATTTGACTGGATGTTCTTCGTGGGGTTTTATTCTCTGCCTCTGTGGCTCAGTTAGTATAGAAAGGTGAGAAGAGAGGCTGCCTCTGGTCTCTGGGCTTGGCCAGGGTTCAGATATATTAAATTACTTCAACTAAATCCTGTCCTATAGGATCACGCAAAATAGCCCCAGAGAAAGATGTTGATGGCCAGCAGGATGATGGCATTGATGTTGCAGACATGTCTCCAGAGGGGCTCCTCCTCGATGCTGGTCAGCTTCTTCTCCAATGCAGCCTTCTCAGCTGCGCTCAGGGCTTGCTGTGGGGCCCCTGAGAGTCCGCAGAACCAGCTCCACAGCCATTTCCCCCAAGACCTATGCTGGGCTGTGTGACAGAACATAAGGAGAAGAATGGGACAGGGGAGGAAGAAAGGGTGGAGAAGGGGAAGGTTGAACAAGAAATGAAAGAGGGCAATGGTAAGACATGGACGGAAGGAGTGGAGTTTATATGATGAGGACACTTTGTGAGGTTCTAAACTGGGTCTCTAGGGTGAGTGGTACCTTGGTGATAGCATCCAAATGGTCACAGCTCAGAAGCATCTCATTATAGGAGGTGATATGTTTGAGCTAGTATCATGCGTTCTCATTCAGAGTACCAGTTCAGAGTGGGGACAGATTAAGAGTCTGTTTCTCCAGGAGGGGAATCATCTAAACCAGACAGACTCATTTCCCTGCCTGCGGGGGAACCAGACAACAGGGCCATATCTGCCTTCAGTCCTGCATAAGGTCAAGTGTAAATCATCCAGGTCTCCTTAGTGGCAGGTACTTTCTCCCCATATGCCTTAGTGACCTGCCCTGCATTATTCTAAGAGTTGTTTAAGCATATAATGAGAATGGGGGTTGATAACACTACAAAAGCTACCAGTGCTGGGCCTGGAAATGGCTGTACGAGTGAGGTCCAAGTGCTCAGGTGTCTGTCTAAAGAATGCAGGCCAGGCCTGTGGAGTGAGCTGCTGAGCTTAGATCACATAGCTCACAAAAGCTGAGCTTGAAGGGGTTGCTTCTCCCCTGCCCCAGGGTTTCTTCGTTTCAGCAAGAAGGATTCACTACATATGCAGCTGCCTTCCCTGGCCTCTCTTCCTACATGGTGGTGTTTCATAATAAGTTTGGGCTTGAGAGATAGAGGCTGCATTTTCACTGGGAATTATGGCTGATTCACTTTCTTCCTCAGGTGTAGCTGTTCACAGGGAGCAGGTATTCCTTTGTATCAACAGGAACGGCTTTGCCCTGGACACAGGCACCAGCAAGGGGCCTGTCTGTCTCTGTAACTGGTTTCCAATCAGGGGCAGTCTCTCCTTTTCCCTGACACCCTCTCTTCTTTTCCTTAATAGTTGCCTCACATACATGACTGCTTGAAGAATGGTCTTTTCAGCTCATAAACATATTAGGGGACAGAAATGGCCTTAGCAGTGATGAGGGAAACAGTCTTGAGACCCAACCAAAATCAGGTGCATGGCTATAAAACTTACATTAAAAAAGCTACATTTTACCAAGCAAAATACAGTGAACCTAAGTGTAACCCTAACCCCTAACCCTAACCCTAACCCAGCATCAGAAGGAGATGCACACCTGTGGTGATGGTAAGGCCAGGGAGAGTGGCTTTGGCCTGGCCTGGGATGCTTCTGAAATTAGCATCTCTGTGTTTAACTGTGGTGCTTGTAAGAGAGTGTCTCTCTTTCACAGCTTGCTCTACAGACATCTGACTACCACATTCTGGGCAAGGAGTATTGAGCCTTGAACCTTGATGGCTTTGACGCTCAAGGTATCATTAGTTATTGACAAGTGGCCATGTGTATAGCATGAGGACCCTGAATGAGGGTAAAAAGGCCTCAAAAAGTGGGAGCCCATTCACGCCTACGGAACAGTGCAGGGTTCCAGATGCAGTGAATATAGAACTGAATGGCTGGAATATCAGCAACTGTGCTGGTCCAGCTAGTGATGCTTTGCCAACAGTGTCTGTTTAGCCTACTCCAGTTACAGAAGCAGGCACTTCAGAGCAGGTGCAACACTCAGGCTTTCAGAAGTCGGATGGCATTTTACCCAAATCTATGTAGAGCTGCTTCAGAAAGAATCCCAGCTCCATCCAGGCAGTGAGAATATCTGTAACTAAGTCTGGAAATAAGTAAGTCAGTGCTTACATTTTATTAAATTTCTACTTCATAAGGGTAAGGTAATTGATTTTGGACTTTAACTTGAAACTGACATGAGCTTTTGAATTTAAAAGTTTTCTTTGGGACTATTAATAGAAAAAAATTCTATAATGTTGCCATTATATCATTGGGGTGTCTTAATATTATTATTTAATCTCACTACAGGAGGGTTATGACCTCATTATATCTTCAACTGGCACATTATAACTTTGATTAACATATAATCCCAACACAGTTATCAACCTCTGGGAAGCCATCAGCATCTCCAGGAGCTTGGCAGAGATGTGGCCATTGTTTTCAGGTATCCCTATGACAACAACACAGATGTGTGGGCACGCTCTACACTCTTCCCATGAGACAGCCAGGCTTCTGTGTGACTACAAACGGTATCATTGAGACAAGAGGGGAATAAATATATAAATGTAGGCAGGAACAAGGGTGGCTGCTTCTTGGTGATGCCTGATGAAGTATAAAGCTATTTGGTTTCCTGCCCATAAGTTCCTTCAGGCTGTGCTGTTGGTCAGATCTGCTGGAGAACGGGTGTGCATCTCCTTCTGATGCTGGGTTCAGTATTAGGAAGTGTACCTCCCTGTGGACAGAATCTAAACCTACCCATCTCATGAGTGACCAAGACAGTCTTTCAACTCTTATCTGTCTTAACAGGTTCAGTAGTCACACAGAAAAGTGAAAGGATGGTTTCGATTGTGTTTTCTCAGAGTCCTACATCCTCAGTGTCTTCAAAATTCATCCTTAGGGGAACCCTCAGCATCATGTCTGTCCCCATTGCTCCTTTGTGACATGTACCCAACCTACCTCTTGGTTTCTCAGGCCCCTGGGTGGGTCTTGCTTCTTCTCCATCTCCTGAGGGGCCCTCCACAGCTGGTGTCCCTGCCAGCCCTGGAGTGTTTTCCCCCTCCATGTCCCCACTCACAGAGGCTCTCTTCTCCACTTCAGGTAAGGGGCAGTTCCTCGTCCACCAGGTCAAGCGAGCAAGCTAGAGCAGGAGGAGATAACATTGGGAATCAGAAAACCATCCTGCTGTGGAGAAGGAGGTCTTATTCATGGGAGGCCATCAGAGCAATATAAAACAGGGTGAGGAACAAGGTGAGTCTGCGAGAGGGAGCCTGGCTTTCCTCTTTCTTCAAGTTTGGAGCCTTTCTTGAGTACCTTCCCTCTGTCAGCCCTGGGCTGGGTTCAGGTAGTGAGATCTGAGTCATGAATTCTCCAGCTGCTTGGAGCTCAACCCAGAAAAACAAAGATAGACAGGAAGCAGGTGCCTGAACACCAGTGAAAGTCTTCAAAGGTCCAGTGGAGAAGATGATAGCTGACAAAAACAAAACCTTAAAGCCAGCAAGGGCCACTGAAGACTTTAGACAAAGAGAAATAACTATAGGCTAGGATTTTCAAAGTTCCCTCAGAGTGAATTGAGGTGGTCCAGGCCAAAAACTGTTGAAAAGTGAGACAAGAAGTAATTGAAAAAAATACTACATGCCTGAGAAAACAGGCAGGAGGATGAGGTCTATGCATTTATCTATGAATTTATTCCTTTTGAAGTGCTTGGGGCCAGACCTAGCTAGACCTTACACATATTAGGCAAGTACTCAGCTAATCATCTATCTTTCCATTCCAGGAAGTAACAGTCTCATGAGATGTTAGGGGAGTAAAATGTGCAGGATGTGGTGATTTATGGAATGATCTGGTGAAGAATGTGAGATTATGATGGCTCTTGGTTCCTGGCTTAGCTGATGACATGGGTGATGGAACCCCCTCCAAAGCAGAGAAGATACAAGACAAGAATGTTTTTTTTGTGAAAGAAGAGGAGAGAAAAAATGTACACACACACACACACACACACACACACACACACACGCAATGGTGATGTTGAAGTGTCTGTAATGTTTCTGGGACCTTCAGTAAGGAGAAACAAACCTCATCTCTCTTGGGTGGTGCGGGGAACTTTTCATGTCCCTTTTTTGTGACCCTGAGAATTAAAACACAGTTTCTGTAAGTAACATTGGTGGTAATAGCCCCGACCATGTTGGTGTCTCTGAAGGTGTCCTTTAACAAAATTCTTCCTCTGCCCCAGCTGTCTGTTACCTGCAGGGCCAGGTGTCGTCACCCACCTTGTTCTGTGGGCCCACTTTGCGCCATGTGCTCATCTGTGTCAGGCCCAAGGGTACCTCTGTCTGGGATCATGAGAACCTCGGAAGCTTATCTGCTTGTACACATCCCTGTAAAATCTGTGAACTTGATGCTCATACTCTGTGTCATGAATATCATATGAGCAACGAGTCCTCATGCCACCAGGAGGCAGTTTGACTTTTGGTTTGAGTCTTGAGAGAGTGATAGAGACATAATTGAGTGCCATAAACAGTTGTCGAATTTGTAGCCCAGGGACACTCTAAGGTAGTGGTTCTCAACCTCCCTAAAGCTGTGATGCTCATGTTGTGGTGTTGTGGTAACCCCCAATCATAAAAATTATTCCATTTTTACTTTATAACTGCAATTTTGTTACTGTTATAAATCGTAATGTAAATATCTGGTATGCAGAATTCCTGATGTGCAAACCCCAAAGGGGTTGAGATCCACAGGCTGAGAACCACTGAACTAGGGTACCATGCCACAGAGATATTTCTAAGGGGGATAAAAGTTCATCAAGTGACCAGAAGTTTAGAACGACAAAACAAAAATCAAGAGTAAAATATAGCAGACATGATTAAAAAAGAGGCCTTCCAGGTTCAGGATGTAGTCAGTGGTGTCTAATTTCTCTTGGAACTCACTTAAGATAGTGGCAAAGAGTTAGCCATTCATTTTAGCAACAAGAATGTGGGAGCTGGGGGAATGGGGGATGCAGGAGGAGGGGAGGGAGAGGGAACTGGGATTGACATGTAAAACAAGCTATTTAAAATTAAAAGAAAAAATTAAAAAAAAGAATGTGAATACCTTCACTGAGATCAATCTAAGTGGCTTTCTGTGGACAGCAGTGGGTTGAGAAAAAATGGAGGCTGTTCTTTGTTTAGAGAGGAAGAGAGGAGGCTTCCGTAACCAAAGGAAAAAAGATGATGACTCTGAACTTTTTCTCATCCCCCTTTTTCATGGTTCAGAGAACAAAAAGACAGCTTTTCTAGAGATGATCCAGGAATGGATTCTAACGTGGGAATGGTTTTGCTGTGAGGAGTGAGAATTCGGACAAGGCACAGGCAGACACTCCAGCAGCTGGAGGCCATGTCTGGCCACAGGAACAGCTAGCCTCACTTGCTCATCTGTGAGAGCCCCTCTTATGTGGGGGACTCATAAAGACATTTTCACAGGCTCCACTTAGGCCAGAGTGCACACAGTGACTGCCACTCAATGGTTAGGATCAAATTTCTACCACAGGCTCTTTCAGGGGTCACATTGTGCACTCTCAGATTTTCTAAGTTGAAGTCTTATCTCCCACATTTCAGATTATAGCTACATATGAAGATAAGGTTATTAGAAAATAATTAATGGAAGTTGGGGTGACATGGGCAGGCCCTACGGAGATCAGGTCCCAGACAGACACAGGGGGCAGACTCAGGGAGAAGATGACCATCGCTATGCTTCAGAGGAACCCTCAGATGAAAACAACCTGCTGGTCCCTTGACCCCCAGGCTTCCAGGCTCCAGAAAGGTAATATGGCACATTCTTGATGTTTATCACATCAAGTGATAAGTAGTTACGGTGGCTTGAGAAAAACAAACAGGCTCATGATAAGATACGGGGTATCAGTATTCAGAGACTGGGGAGCAGTCAGCTATCTGGTTCCTTTCTCATGTACTTCTTTCTTACCATTGGAAAAAAACCCTCTGTTTCTTCTAAGTCCTTCTCAGAGAGACATTGCCAGTGCACCTGTTCCTGGACCCCCATACTTAGCCTCTCTCATTAAGACTAGTCCTAATTTTTTTTCTCTATGTGGTTACCAGTTTATGTTGGCATGTGCTTTCCTGGGGACAGCTGTTGGTAGGGGTGATTTATCTTTGTAAACCCAGCACCGTGCCTGACACATAGTTGGTAAAGAATGTGTAACTTTGAACTGAAAGGGTTACTTCTCTCCTGGAAATTCATACCCCAATGAGCATGTCCTCCAAAGGATATCTGCTTGACAGCAGATGAAACCATAGTCCAACAGGATAAAACTCAATTGGGGGAAAGGCTGGGGTCTGAGGTCTGGGTATTAGGGACTGAAGACTTGTTCCCGGAAGTCTCAGCCTGAAAACACCACTTGCCTTTTCATCAGGGATGGGCTCTGTGCAGAAACTGATTATGACAGTGATGATGGCAGAAAGTCCACAGAGGAGGAGGGCAAAATACAGGTAGTGGACGTCTCTCAGGACAGCAGGCCTCCTGTCCATCTCCCCACAGGCTGGGGCAGGATATGAGAATTCAAGGATCATGCGCACTATTCCCACTGCTAGGCCCAAAGTGAGGCCCCAGAAGGCACCCTAGGGAGAGAGTGGAGACACAGATAGGGGGAGGTAAGGCAGACCCTAGGAAGTTGGGGACACAATTCTGTGACATATCCTTCCTATTGGCTTGTTACAGAGGAAATTTCAGCCACCTTATCTAGTTCCCTATTGACACTCTGTGTCTTGACTCTGAGAGGGATATGAGTCTTGGAGCTGCACTACAGTTGAGATCACCGCTCTGGGGAGAATTGCTTGAGCCCGTCGATGTGAGCACACTGTCTCAGAGTCTCCTTATGTGCAGTTGAAAGGGGAGACCGGCAAGTTCTGAGTCAGATGCTCAGGGTTCAAATAGCATGATGGGTGTTTCTCTACTAAGCAAGAAACACCAGGAGCCTGCTCGCAAAATTCTGTTATGAAAATTAGAAAACAGAACAGAGCTCTTTCATTAAAGAATCAAGTCTCTGGGACCTCACAATTATAGTCCCAATGTGAACTGCCCAGATGACTGCAATCGGAACGATGAGATACTGATCTTGAATTCAGCACTTTGGAATGAGCAAGTGCACACTGAACCTTGCTGGGTCCTGTGGTCAGTAAGAATAGATCTTGAAAGCAGCAGACACCTTGCTCAGGGAGGCATAACAAGAAGGGTTCCTATGACGGCCTGTGTCATGGCCTTGAATTCTCCCTCAGATCAGATTGTGTGGAGTCATAAACATGACATCCTTTAGTTAAGGTTCATCCAGCAGATTTGGGCCAATGTCTGTCCTGAAATGTAGCCAAGGTTCACATCCTGGCATATCTGCGCCCCTGCCATACTTGTCAGGATTCAGCGTGGTTACAGGACAGCTCTGTGGACACCACCCCATGAGTTCACACTGCATCAGCATTGGCTGTCTTGCTTTGCTTATTCGTAGAAGGATACAGGCTTAGAGGTGGAGCAGAGACCTTAGAGCCTCAGGCTGTCCTGTACTTTCACAAGTCTCTTGTGTCCAGCATTGTCTTCCTCTACCACTGACGTTTCAGGAATCCTCTCACAGGCTACTTCTTCCAGGAAGTCTTCCCTATCCCCTCCTAGGAATTGCCTCACTGGATCTTTACTTTTCCAGAGGCCATTCACCTTTGCCCTTATTGCTTATTTAATCACCTTTCTTCCCATGACTGCTCAAGATTGCAGATCCATGTGAACCTTGTTGTAAACGGTTACATCCTTGGAGATGTCATATTTGGGTTGGTAAGTGTTTACTGAGAAAATGAGAAACTCTCGATCTCATGGTAATATTTTAAAACCTAGAGAAGGCAGTGGCTTTGCCCAAGGTCTTACAAACCAGATGAGTAAAAGACCCTTATCCCAGATCTGCTGACATGTGGGGGAGGGGCAGAGTTATTGGACTCACAGGCTCAGTGACCCTTTTGCTGAAGATGGCCAGCAGGAAGAGGGCTGTGATGGGTGGGGCTAGGTAGCTGGTGATAGATTGGATGTAGTCAAAGAGCTGCCCACTGTTGGAGCTCTGGATGATGGGGATCCAGAGGATGCTGATGACTACTAGGAAGACTATGAACAACCTGTGGGAAGAGTACAGGGCACTGTGAGTACCGATCACATGAGCATGGACAGGGTGAAGTATGCAAGGGAATCAGGAAGGGAAAGAATGTGGATGGTCCCTGGGTCACAGAATGTCTGTGGGTTAGAATCCCAAACACTGGAAGGCAGAAATCAGACAGTTAAAAACCTAGAAACGGAAACTTCAGAATTCAAGAAACCTTAGTATTCATATACTGGATGGCTTCAAGGTTGTTCTGTTCCCCACTGATGAGGAGTAACCCATACCTCCCACCGCAGCCATCCCCTGGAAGGTCTCTGCTGAGGATGCCTTTCTTCCTCTTTGCAATTAGCTCTGTCTAGAGCGGTTTAGTTGCCGAGGTTGGCTCCAGCCTTATTAACCACAGATCTTTTCTTCTTCTCTTTACCTCCTCTCACATAATTCTCACTCAGGCCCAAACTCCCAAAGTGCTCTTGGTACCTGATTTTATAAATACAAAAAAAAAAAACCGGATGAACTTTTGTTGAATGGCGTGATTGCAATAATGCATATGGCCAGGAGATGGGGCCCAAATCACACTAATTGAGAACTCCAAGTCTGTTAGTGAGCAGAAAGGAGGAATACTTCTGAAATGCTTTCCTCACCTCTCTTTTTATTACCACTTCCCCTTTCTCGGGTCCTGTTAGAGCAGTAACTGCCCACCTGTCTTCCTTGATGCTCATCCCCACCCCCGTCCTACTCTTGGATGCTGGGTCATTGCCTGGGTGTGTGCAGATAGGTGGCCATAGGGCAGAAGCCAAACACCCAGGGGTAGATAGTGAGTACAAAGAGTGAGATATCCAATCCCACATCTCGATCCATCAAAGAGGCTGAACTGTGTTTTTCAGTTTTGAAGCCAGAGCCAGGGAGACTTAAAGTGAGAGTCAGAGATTTGTGCCCTTTACCCTTTACTCTTACTCTGTGGAGACTAAGGAAATTTACCACTAAGTTGTGCTTTTAAAAACATAAACTACTACATACAAAGTGGAGTTCAACCTCCATATCTTGGTGTTCAAAGCTTGTGGGGCACTTGGAGACAACTTCTCTGTGGACATCTCCGTCAAGACTACACTTCACCGTCTCTTGAAGTTCCCTTTGTTGTAGACTGGGGACACCCTGAGAGCTGGCTTATATCATGCATCTGCGTGTCCCCACTGTGACAGTGTGGCAAATGGTGTATGTTCTAGGAATATCTGATGGGATAGGTTAATAGCATTCTCATTGTCCTGAGATAACAGTCAGAGATGGTCCAAAACACTTCAAGGGGTACAGTGTTCCCCACTTACACACTATCAGTCTGGGTTTACATGCATTATCATCTCACAGTGAACTTGTTAGTTACATAAGCAAGGATAGATTTCCCTCCTCCCCATTATTCTGAAGTGAGAGAGGTGGAGTTGCTATGGGGAGTGACTTATGCAAAGTCACATGGAACCCACAGTCTGACTACAACCCTGGGGTCTAGACCTAGCTGGTCTTTCCATGAAGCATGGATCAGAGAAGGGAGAGCATTCTTTAGATAAAGGATGCTCTGGAAGCATGGGTCAGCATACCTGCCTACCACCATCAACTCTTGTTCCGTTGCCTGCTTGCGGAAGCGCTGCCACACATCTATGACAAATAGGGTGCTACTGCTGTTGAAGATGGAGGTGAGTGAGCTCATCAGGGCAGCCATGATCACAGCGATCATCAGACCCCTTAGACCTGGGGAGAGACAAGGCTAAGTGGAAAGCTGTCCATTTAAGGGCTCTTCCAGGACAATGGAGGTTGTGCAAAGACAAAAGTTTTGGGGCGGGATGGGATGAGGTAAGTGTTGGTGAGGGTCCCATCTAGGACAGATACAGAATCAGGAAACCCACAGTGCTTGAGGCCAGGTTCTGATCAACTTCTGTCTCTGCTTTGTGGCCTTGGGTGACCCATTTAGACTCTCTGAGCCTTGGTTGTCCCCTGCGTATTATAAGATGTGCATGAGTCAAGATGATAAGAGGCTTCCTTCAGTCTTGATGTATGTCTTCGTTTCACGGCTGTGGATGGTGATAGATCCCCGGGGCTAGGAGTAAAAGGGTAGCTGGTATTGTATTTTATGTCATGGCTTTTCTACCTTTAAAAAGCGAGTTTCATAGTACATCATGGCCATTACCTGAAGTTCCAGCCTTGGAAACAAACCTGGGTTGTAGGTAACTATGATCATAGGACTAGGAGCTTTCTTTTCTTGGGCCTATTTTTTTACCTGGACACCAGAAATAGGAGGACACACTGATATTTGAAGCTCTGGAAACAACCTTTCAACACTGGGAAGATGACTTCTAGGAGTTCTGTGGCCCACCTAGGTCCCTTTTCTCCCCAAATATGTATGTGTAACCAAGTTCTAGTGCCTCTCTATAAGCCTTTTAGATGCTTTGGACTCCAGTGTTCCAAACTGATGCACCCCTCTTCTGAATCCTTTGTTTCCCTCTGGCTAATAATACCTTTCTGGTCTCCCTCACCGGATGTCCTTATTATCCTAGACCCTTCTCTTATCACTGCTTGGCCCTAGCTAGACCTTTACTATTTCTTTGACTGGCTATAGCCACCAAAGAGAAGCAGTGACCACTTTTCTACTGCCTTCAAGTTCCTTGACTCAATGTCATTACAAACCCACTTTCTGAAGATCAAGATTGATCTTTGGGCCTCTGTCTTTCCTGTCACTAATGACTATTGAGTCATCGAATCCTGCCAATCTTACTCCACAAATCTTCAAATGCCTTCTGTTCATCTCTGAAGCCACTGGTCTGGTCAAGCTTCCAGTGCCACTTATCTAGACCACTGCAGAACCCTCACTTATATTTCCTTGACTTTCCTTTCCCAATCTTTCACCATGCTGTAATCTCCAAGCACAGTGGTCTGTTGAAAGCACAAATTTAATTATTCATGCTTGGACCAAAGCTCCCTCTGGTCTCCAGTGCCTTCCTTTGCTCTTAGAGAAAAGACTGTACTCCTAAATGATGTTTGGCCACTCCAGCTACGCTGAGGAGAGATTACAGTCTGAGGCTTGGTGAGAGCTCATGGAGACAGGATCAGCTCATTTAGCCTGAGGTACAGGTAAGCAGTTAGTGGCCAGCTGCTTTGCTTTTCTGATATTCAGCTTGAAGTTTGAACCCCAGTATCAGTCTCTGGGTTATTTATTTTTTCATGTTACAGAATTGTCTTCATTTATCCTTGCTGCTGATGGTGCATTGCACAATCTGTTTTTCCACCCTGGTCATTTGCATGTGCACCCTCTTCTTAGAATTGTGTTTCCTATGCTCTTGGTATTTGACGAGGTGTTTCTTGTGACTCACCAGGAAAGCTTGAGGGTGTGTGTGTGTGAGTGTGTGTGTGTAAGTGTGTGTGTGTATGCTGGGGTGGGGGCAGAGGTGGCTCTTTCTATTTTCCATTTGTATCACTCTTGGGTAGTGAGTCGTGACGGAATACTGGGTGGTGGAAGGGTGGGAGAGCTAAGACTCACCCACGGGCATGAGAGCCATGATCAGCTTTGGGTAGGCAATGTTGGAGCATCCCACTCTGGCCCCACACACTCTTTGACAGATGTCAGGGTTTACACAGGCAACTTCATCTGCAAAAGAAGAGAGCTGTATGATTCTGTGCCTTTTTAGATTGGCCCAATATTTGCTTTCTGATGTCGGAGGAATCTGTTCACTGGAGACTCCAACCTAGTCTAGAAGGTCAAATGACAAGTGGTCTGATCACTTATAGATTTGTTGTGCATGAACTACACTGCAAAGCTTGCTTGATTCTTTTGATTAAAAACAAATATCCTTGGGTAGATACAAGAATGTCTTGCTTCTTCTCCATATGAAGGAGAAAAGTTGAAGATGACCTTCAGATGCAGATTTCTTCTACTTCAGTAAAAAGTCTAAATGTTTTCTGTGTTGTCTTAATTGATAAATTCTGCCAGCCCCTGCTCTGGCTCACCTGTCCTAGGAAACCTTTGAAAGCATCCTGCAAACCACAAGATGCACAGAGAGTGGCATTAGCTCTTACCTGGGTACAGAGCCCGGCTGATCATGCCAGGCATGACAATGAAGAACATTGGGAGGATTTTTAGGTAGCCTCCCAGCACTGAGCCCCCCTTGGCATGGGAAAGACTCTTGGCGGAGAGAGACCTCTGCACAATCACCTGAAATAGTGTGAGATATGCATAAATAGCAGTGAGGATGCATCACTGGTCACAGAGAGACTTAGCTCATTGCAGGTGAACCCCAACACTGGCCTTTGTTTGCTTCCACTCCGTCCCAGGATGGTGTCCAACTATCTATATGCCTAACTGCTTGTTTGTTTATTTCTTTTCAGGAAACCTCTGATGGGCCAAGTCAGACTGGGTCCATTACCTGGTCTGTGCACCAACACCAGGTTGCCAGGACTGTGAGTCCAAAAATTAAACCTGGCCATGGGATGTCCCCATTCACAGGATCACGAAGCATGTGGAAGGCATCAGGCCGTGGGAGGTGACAAGTGGTGTTGGGAACTGTGACGTTGGGAATGGCTTGCTTATATAGCTGCTGCAGGCCTGGGTACCAGCCCACCTCTTGAAAACCTGTGGGAAGAGACATTGTGTGAGAAATGAACCTGGTGGTTCCACTGATATCTCAGTGAGCCTCTGGGTTTGAATTGACATGAGAATTGGGAAAGGGTAAGGGTGTTGAGCCTTGGGTTCAAGATTCTTGGTTTGAAACAGAGAGAATCATGACTTTATGGATCCCTGAGATAGGCAAGGGGTATGGCCTTATTGCTATAATAGTTCTAGGGTTCAAGGATAGAGTGTATTTAGACCTCTTCTTACCCAAGAACATGAGGACCAGTGCTCCCCCTACCATGATGACGGTCTGTAGAGCATCTGTGTAGATCACAGCAGTGAGCCCTCCTAGGTACCCAAGGAGAGGATACATAAGTTAGCATCAATGGGAAGTTTCCCTCTGGGTACCTGCCCTATGTTTGGCTGTATTGGGGGAGACCAGAGAAGACACAAAGCCCTCGTAGCAGGGAACCCTGGTGCCAGACTCTTCTCCAACTCTTCTCTCTCTATCCCATCCAGAGACTATGTTGGCTGACTACAGACCAGTGTGTTCTGATGTAATTCTTTCTATCCATGGCAAGGTCTGGAACTGCACCATCAACAGTCTCTTGTTCTTGCCATTAATATCACCAAATTCTCTGCTTTCCCTCCCAAAGTCCACCTAGATGCTTTCATCATTTAAAGACAACTTAGCCATATGTTTTTCTGTCCTGGACTGTTGTCCCAGGGTACCCCAGTTCTATGAATTGAAGGAAACAGAGCAGAGAAGGATCATGGCTTTGCCACAGTGACTCTAGCCCAGACAGCAGTTCATTGATTTCCCACCTTATCCTTGCACATCTAGTCCTCAGCAGGACTCCATGTCTCTTTTATTCCCTGCCTTTGTCAGGTAGGTCTTCCATATTTGCCCTTTCCACCACTTTTCTCTGCCGCTGTCTTTCCATCTTTTTCTGTGTGCTCTCTCATCATTTATCTCTGTCTTCATTAGCTTGTCTCTGTCCCTCCCTATCTCACCATCTCTCTCTGGACCATTTCTTCTGCCTGTCTCAGTCTATCTTTATCTTTGTTATCTCTCAATATCTTTGCCAGTGAAAGTGTCATTTCTGGGCTCTACATATCTTTAGGCCTTTCCCCTAAGGCCCCTTCCTACCTGCAATGGTGTAGACAGCTGTCACCACCAGCAAGATCACTGTGGAGAGATAGAGGTTCCAACCTAAGGCCATCTGGATAAAGATTGCTCCAGAGAAGATGTCAGTCTGTAGTAAGCAAGAAAAGACTCATAAATCCATGCCACCCAATGCTTCTAGAACGGTTGTTGTGGGTGTGTCACCCACCTTATCAGGTGTCCCCAGCCTTTATCAACCAATGGAGACAAGGCTGAAGCACCATGCTGCTGAGTTTTCATCTTGGCATTAAAGTGCCACGTTATGGAATGTGGACTTGGCCTTGCAGACGTGGAGGCATAATAGAATTTAGAATGAAACAATACTGTATACTAGTTTGAATGAAAAAATAATCAGCTAGCCTTGAAAGATTTGTCTGTGTATTATTAATGCCAAGGTAAGAAATGAAAGTAGAAAAAAGGAAGTAAACATTTGGGAAGAGAGAATAGGAATTGTTAAGGTTGCTGGCTGCTCCATGAGATAGCATAGGCCTAAAGGGCTGTCTGGGCAAGCACCCACAGGTTCTGGATTATCCCTATTCTTGGGTTATTATGGGACTTGGGGTAAAGATGGCCTCAGCTAACCGTGTTGGTCCTCAAAGCAATTTCATGGTTAGATCTGACATCTGATTAAGTCTGTTCCCTCTGTCTGTTTGCTCAGCCCATTATGTGATTGTTTATAAACTGATTACAGAATCAATAATATGGTAGTGGGGGGACCTAACCCTCACAGGGTATGGGAGTTAAGATCCAGTGCTGATTCCAGACCTAGTCCCTTGTGTAGACTTGACTAATTCACCTGACATGTCTAGGTTTGTTTTATAATTTAGTTCAATAAAGCAATAGTAAAGATCTTTCTGACTCTAACAAAGAGTTGCTGAATGAAGTATCAGTTAATGGAAACAAGGAAGAGTGGACTCTATTTTGATAGTTCTTTGTGTGAAATATCAATATCCACTTAAAGAATTCATCATTCATTTCTGATTTTCCCACTTCTGGATGTAGGTGTTCTCTGAAATCAGGTGTATTCATCTTTCCTTCCTTCCATCCTTCATTCTATCCACACACACTTTCATTTTATCCCCACTCTCCATCTCTCTCTCTCCCTTCCTCCTTTTCATCCTTCCCCACCATCAGTGAGCTCAGCATAAAGTCCATGGTAAGGAAGCCACCTTGCAGACATACCCACCGATATTTTGGTGAAGATGTAGAGGATGAGAGACAGGACTGACATATACACCTGGATCCTCTGTCCTCCAAATCGTTTCTTCAAGTACTGTGGCATGGTGACCATACCAGCAGCGATGTACACAGGGACAAAGATCCAGCCCAGAGCCAAGAGCAGCCAGGTTGCCTGGGACATAGAGAAGGTATTTTAATTGTAGAAAGATGGGCAGCTTTGCACCTGGAGGTAGCATGTTGTTTGGGAGAGCCCTGAGCTGAGTGGGGAAACGAGGGACCTGAGACTTTCCTGGATAACCTCAGATGAGTTTTCTTTCCCTTGTGAGACCTTGATTTCATCATCAAGTACCTCTAAGATATCTTTCGTCTCTAAGGCTAGGCACAGGAGATGGTTCTGACTCTCAACACCCGGGAGCAGTCAGGCCAGCTTCCTTACATTCCACTCGAAGCCACCCACAGCAAGGCCTCCAGCAGCCCCTGTCCCAGCCAGGCCGATGAACAAGCCACTGCCCACATTGCTGGACATCAGCGATGCTCCGATCTGAAAGGACAAGAGAGGTTAAGGGTCAAGGGTCGGAGTTAGTTTGGAGCAATCTGGGCTTAGGACTACTTACAGTGAGGAGGCACCTAGAGGCTGTGATTTTTGAAGCACTGGCTAAACAGAACCATTCCCAGGGGCTTTTTTTCTCCTCATAATGAAGTATCTGGAAGCACCAGTCATTTCTCGTTATCCTTGTGAACTTCTAGGTTTCCAGACTCAAATATCCTCAGGTAGTTTTCATGCTAAACTGACATGTTCCCTGTCCTGTGAACCTCTGCTCCAGATAACCAAATTTTTCAGAGACTCCAGAAGGCTGTCTGGATTTTCTCTTCTTCGTAGAAAGCAGAATGTGAGCAGGGGTGGGTAGGGATGGTGAGCATCACCAAAATGGAGGGTCAGAAATGAGTGGTGCTATGAGTGTGAGGGAATGAGAGAGTGAGTGAGGATCGAGGGCATGAAAAGGCAGGAGTATGCGGGAGTCTTTAAGTGTAAGATTATGTGAATGAATGTATGAAAGTGAGTGGGAGAGTATATGCATGCACACGTGAGAGTATACGTGAATGTTGGCCTACATAAATATGTGTTTGAGAGTTTGACTGTGAGAAGGTAAGAGTGTATGCGTACATGAATGAGCATGTGAGAATTTGTGTGAGACTGATGTGACTGGGTTTCTAAGTAGACCTGATCTCCCTTCATCCCACTTTTGGAAGAGGAAGCTAAATTTTCAAGGATCAATAGAAATATAGGGTATGATCTGATGAGAAAGATGAGGATTCATGAACACTTGGGATCAATTTCTTAAGATGGTTGGGAGCTTGTCCCTAATTCCCAATTCACTATTCTTCAGTATTAAGTGTAGGTGTCATTCTTTCAAGAAAATGATTCCTACTTCCTATCCACCTATTGCCTAAGCCCCAGCAGCTTCACCAAGGTATGAGAAAGCCAGCGTCTTCCTCTACCCCAGGTTTGATATATAAGTCATAAGTCTATGTGCCCACTCAACTCTGAGCATCCCTATAGCAGGGAACTCCAGACATATCTTAACAAATCCAGTGTCCAACATAAGGACCATACCTGGAGATATAGCAGGGGAATTTAATTCTCCCTGGGTATGAAATATAAGGTTGGATTCCAGGTTGAGCACTGCAAGTGTTATTAAGGATATTTATTTCTGAGGTCTTTTAATTTTGTTTCTGTTTGTTTGTCTGTTTCCTGTGAATGAGTGAAACTGCAGAGAGAATGGGTTTCTCTGACCTTTGATTGACAGCTAGCAAATCCTTCCCTGAAACCCTGATGCCTCAATCAGGCAGCTGTCAAGCTAGCAGCTCCTATTGAGTGGATGGCTAGACTGTTGTCATGACATCCCAACTGCTTCAAAATTTTCATTGATCCATTGAGGAAACTACTCCACCTTCAGAGGAATGCTGCAGGAGCCACAAATGGCTGCTTTGAGAGGCTGTGCTACCGTCATGACCACTCCAGAAAGCATGCATGATTGGGAAGATCACACTTCAGGCTAGATTAGTATCAGTGGATAATAGATGACTCTACTCATCCTATAGCTACCCAAGTAGCAAAGGAGGGGCCGCTACTCCCCAAGGGCTCAGAAGAAGTCTGTGATTGGTGCAGTGTGAGGCTTATGATTTGTCCCTAAATAAAGAGTGTGATTAGTGGAATTAGAAGCTATATGCATACCAGACAGTGACTGGTGAAATTATATTCTGAGTGTAGGTGGGCTTTCATTCTTTTCTGGCCATATGAGTTGGTTGGTTGTCAATTTTTTTAAATTAATTAGCTTAGGAGGCTTCTTTTCTGTGTGTTCCCCCCAAACTCCCTGCTGCATCTCAGTGTTGAAACAGTTTGCCAAATGGCCTCTTTCCCTACTAGGGGTCTTTATCACAAGGAGAACATGTTGGTCTGGTTGCCTGAAGAGCAGATGGTAGATAACAGAGCATACTAGCTTTAGTAGCAAGGAGGCAGCTAAGACTTGCAGAGACCCTCTGATAGCTAAGGACCCTGTTATCAAAAGCTCTGCCACAGAACACTAGGCTGAAAAGTTAAAGAGAAAAAATTGAGATCAGAAACTGCAAGAAGCTTATTGTGAATAGTTGAATGGTAGGTTAGAGCATAGGGCTTGTAAATCTGGATCACTGGAAAAGCTTGAGAGAGACACCGAGGGTTAAAGAGTTGAAGGCCTCAGGACCTAAAGCTAACTTTATTTAGTCCCCAGGTCTTAGAGTTCCAAGCTCAGAGCAACAACCCCTGCCCTGAACACCGATAACAATAACTCTCTGGTTCTAAAAGCTAGGGCTGTGAGACCCCAATTCTATAGTATAGATCTGTAAGCATCTGTTTGGGATCCCAGCTTGCAAACTTCTAGAATTGAGTGCTATAAACACTATGCTCCTTTCTTACCCCTAGCTTCTGTGTAGATAGAGCAAGAGCCCCAGACAGCCATCTATGACATGCATGCAAGGCATCCAGGGGGGATGGCTCAGGCTCCTGGATGGATTGCAGCAAGAGAGGGCAAAATAGGAGGGTGCTGATGCAGTTCTAGCAAAAAAAAAAGCTGAGAAGAGGTCACAGATGGCCAAAGCTTGGAATCTATGGGAGAGGATGGAGAAAGTTCAACTCACTGGCCACCAAGTCATGGATCTCCCAGCCAGGAAATAGCCACCAATGGTCCCTCTGCTTGCACGGACAGATGACTGGAAAGGATATGCAAAGATGTCAGTACTTCACAAGCCTCTTATAACCCTTGCCTTCCACCCCTTGATTAATTGTCCTCTTGGTGCAGGCACTGTGGGGACAAAGAGGACAAGAACGGAGGTAGAGCACAGTTGTCTCTATACTTATGGCATTGGTGTTTTTTAAACTATGGGTCTGTGGGAGAGTCATGCCCTCTTTGTTAGTTTTGCTCTCCATCTATTTCTAAGGAATGATGTGAAAAAACAAAGAAGGCAAAGGCTGTCCAAGATCTTCAGGAATAACAGAATGTCATGAAAACATTCTGAATGGTAATTAGTGTCTTCTTGTTCTTCCCTCTGTGACTTCCTCCAAGGGATGTATTGGAGTGACCGACTCTCTCCATAGCTAACCTCTTCTTTCTTCTCATATAGACTCCCACACTGGAGAGGATACTGTTCCAGCCATTCTTAATGCTGGCCAGAATAAAGAACTCTATTTGGGACATTCCTTGATATTACATGGAGTCAGAACACACCATTGAGCCCATCGAGAATCCTGGAAGGAGGTGGCTTGTTTTGGGATGTACACGGCACAAGGAGCTCCTGCTCTGTCGACATAAACTCAAACTACTTGGTCAAGACACTAGCAAGACAGATATCTGAGCTTTCTCCACCTTTGTGCAGTTGATATGGAGAAGAGGTATGTTATCAGGGTGACTAGGGGTAGCTTGGCAGGGCATAATGAAAGTCTGTGGTATGGGCTGATAGTGGTTAAGGGTGTGTGTTGACATTTGTGTTGGAAATGTTCCAAAGCCTCATATGCACCATCAGACATGCAGATTTTAGGAAGGGTTTGGATTGTGAGGATTCTGACATAATTAATATATTAACCCATTTGGTGAATTCAAAATTGAACAGGCTATTAGAAAGCAGTAGGAACTATGGTTAGAGCAAATGGGCCATGGAGGGCAAGTATTTGAAGGTTATGTCTTGTTACCAGCATTTTCCTCTCTCTCTCTGTTTCCCGGCATCACCCTCCACTGTTACAGGCTCCTGTTGCCTTCCCACACATCCTTTGTAAGGGAATCAGCTGCCCAAGGCCCGAGACCTCTGAAGCCTGGAGTCTAAATATATCTTCAAAGTTTTCTCACAACAGAAAACTGACAGAGTATAAGTTACTTCCTATTGGGAGGCAACAAATCAGACTAGATCTGAGAAAAGAGAAACCCTTGAAGTAGAGAAAGGAAAAACAAAAGCTAATAGTCACTGGGACCCGATACACACATGTACAGGGCCTGACATGTGTCAAGCTTTGGCTAGTGTCACCTCTGATGATCTTGGTGGCAACAGTGGCAGTAAAAACTCATCTCACAGATGAGAAATTGAGCTACAGGGCAGGAAAGGACTTGTCCAATACACACAGGAATTAGGCTTCTCATGCTGGCCACCTCTTGAGGCCTCTTCTTCCTCAAACCAGGTGGAGGGCCTCTCACAGAGGAGAGGCCTGAGGTCCATAGGTGTTCCTGACAAGCTGATACTTGGGTGATGAACTGCCTCACAGCAGTCTGAAAGTGCCGGCCTCTCAACAGAGCCCTGTGTTGATGACAGAGGCTGTTTATTACCTGCTACCTGCACGCCAGGCACTGTGCCAGGTGCATGTGTGTGTCCTGTCACCGAATGATTACAGCTTTCGACAGTGTCACCAGCAAAACTGACAGGTTTTCTGTCCCCAGGGCCTTATAGCTCTAACTGCTAGAGTAGATCTGGGCTCTCAAAGCCTTGCACCTTCCCACAGCTGTGTGGTTTCTTTGAACTACAGGAATATTGGAATCTGCAAGGCACTATTGCCTGAGAACATATGAGTCTGAGCTCCTTGTTCAAGGCACTAATAGAAGGAGAGGAAGGCTAAGTGTAGAGCATACTCTGAGTTGGGAGTCCTGAGGCAAAGGAGAGGAGAGTCAGACTCAGTGACCAAAAGGGTTGGAAGTCACAGCTCCTGGCCTGACCTGCCTCCAGCTCACTGGGTATTGCTCAGGCCACAGATCTCTTTGGGCCTCAGTCATTCATATACAGAAGGACATGAAGGGAATGGGCGAATCCTAAAGTACCATATAACCTATGGTTATATATTCTTATTCTTCTTCCTTTTTCTCCCCTCTCTTCTCCCAGCTCAAGATGAGAGGCCTTTCTCTGTCTCTATGAGACTTCAGCATAACTTAGTTCTCACTCACCCAGATCCCCACAGCAAGGACGAAGACAAAGTAGATGACCACCACCAGGATGTCATAGGCATGCAGGCTGACTCCAGAGTCCAGTGCCGAGTGTGGTGCTGCCTCAGCGCTGACTGCATCCCCTGAATCTCCAGGCTCCATTGCTGCTAGCTCCTTGCTCATCTGTTACTGTCGTTCCCAGCAGGCTGGACTTTGATGTCCTCCTGGCTTCATTCCTTCCCTTTAATGATTAAACAAACCCAAGCATCATTGTCCTTTGAGAAAGCAAGGAGTCCTTCTGGCATGTGAGGTCCTGCCCACTTTTCTTCTAACTTCAGTGACTTCCCCTGCATGACTTCTTCCCTCCCTCCTTCTCTTCGCCTGCTGCATGCACATGTATACACACACACACACACACACACACACACACACACACACACACACTTACTTTAGAAAGCAAGGTGCCCAGGCAGCTGCTCTGTGGAAGAACTGAGGAAAGAAAGTGACTGGGACTGAGACTGGAGTTCAAGTTTCTTAGTCATCAGTTTAATCCAACTTTCCTTTACGCAATGGCAGTGAGAGGAGGGAAGACAGGAAGAGTCTATGACCATCCCTGTAAAGCCACTGTTGCCTCATATACCTTCACCTCCATCCCGCCAAGGTTCCCTGTTTTACAATGGAGGAAACCGAGACCCAGGAAAAGCTAAAAGTTCCTTGCAAAGAGCAAGGCCATTTATGTCAAGGCAGGCCAAATTTACATTTTCTGATGATCAATCCACATTTCCTGTCGTGGGCTATGACAGGTGAAATGGATGAGGTCAAGCTCTACCTGGAAAAGAGTAGAGTTCAGGGAGGAAGACTGTCTTCTAAGACTCAGGTAGCCTGGTTTCTGGTCCCCACCACTTCTTTTACTATACTTATGATAACTTTGGGCATGTTGTCTCTTCAAGTCCTGCTCATCAACAGGCTTGAGTGCTGCCTGCCTCTGCACCAAGGATCGCGAGATTGTTTGCAAACTCTGGGCTACTTGGTTCTTAGTGCAAACTTCGATAAATCAGTATTAGCCACCATCTTGCCAACAGGCCCAGATGGCAGACACAATGCAGGTCTGTTGCCATCGTCTTATAATAATTACATTTGGACTTTTCAGTCTATGAGTGTTGTGTTTCTGTGCATAAGCACGACAGTCTCAGATTGGGGTGAATAAGGGGACCCTACCTCAGCCTGTGGTGAGAAGCATAGGGCTGGGTGTAGAGAACCCATTCTCTTTTCATTATGGGATAGAGAAAGCAAAAAGCAGAACGGTGGATTTCTTTGGGCTTGGCCCTGTAGCTCAGAAGAACAGGTATAGTTCGAAGTCGATCTGCCAGACTAGCCAATTGGAATCGTGTATAACAGAGTACAACATCGATTCGGGTAAGGGTCCAGAAGGACAGCAAGGCAGATTTGTAGCAAAAGTGTGTTTCATGTGTATTTACATGTAAACAAGTGTTTATCAAGTAAATGAGATGGGTAAGGCCATTGTTAGCAACATCAGAAACAATGTGAAGGACAGCCCCTGGTGTGAACTTTGCAGAGGGGTGGTGGAAAATGTGTTTTGCAGCTGCATGAATGTTGTTAGAGAGTGAGAGAAGCTAGGTGTCAGCTTGGGCCACTGAGAATGGCTTAGTGCTGCCTGTGGCTCATTCTTTCAGAGAAGGATGAGTGTGTAGCAGAAAGTAAGAAAGTAGGGAGCTGAGCCCAGAATGCTCTGCCTCCCTCACTCAGAAAGGCCATCTGGACCCTCAGGGCTCTGCTGCTTATGTACCCTCCACCATTTCACCATGTCCCCGCTGCCTCCTCATAAGTGCTGGAGGCTGAGCCCAAATTCTGCAGTTGGTCTAATGTTAAACCAAAGGTTTGGCCACATAATATCAAAGTTGACAGAATAAGATAGCAAGCTCTGAATTGTTGTAGCCATGAAGCTGATGTGTCTTGGTGTCATATTGAGGGATCCTGATCACTCCCAGAGACATTCCCAGGAAAGAGCCCAGCCTTCTACCTGTTTCTAAGTTCTCCAGCAAAGCCTTTTCATGAGAGCCCTGCTCAACTCAGAAGTTCTGTGGCAAGAGCTCATCTCCTTTCTTCATTTGCAGCTCTCAGGTGTGGCTGCAGTATTTCCCAGAAGGGGCGGGAGATAGCAAGCTGAAGGTCATGTCCCTTTTCCCCAAGGCTGCAGATCCAGAAGCAAACTCCAGAGAGGGCAGAATGCACAGGGAAGACAAGGCTGCCTGTTGAATAAAGACTAAACCATTAAATAGTCGAAGGCACTTGGCATTGCAATCTTCAGACTTAAATGTCAGAATTTCCACATAATTGTAAGCAGAAAATGGCTTGAAGTTTAATTTAGGAATGTGGAAAGAATGTCTCACTGAGAAACTGGCTTAAGAAATTTGCTCTTAGGATCATTTCCCTGAATCCAGCCTACTTCACCTATAGTTTACAACGTGGGAGATCAGACCCATATGTCCAGCATCTTAGCCAGGTATCCTTTAGGCTCTTGGCTGGATCTTCTTTGGAGATTGTACAATTCTTCTAGGAATCCTGACTAGTAGGTCCCCTAGCTTCTCAGCCTTATTATTCTTGGTCACCAGCTACCATTTCAATCTTTTTGGACAACTCATGCTTCCCATAGTCCCAGACCCTCCAGCTGTGTCTGTCATGCTCTTTCCCCTTTGACCATTGTGCAGAGTATAGATGAACAGGTGGTCCTTCCAGCTGTCACAAGATACTGTCCTGTATGCACATTATGGGGGCTCTCTTTTCCTCACACCCCTCAGAATTGGGGTCATAACCCTTCCTTGCTATTTCCTTGCTGCTAGGCTGCATGATGGGGGGCTCTGGGATGACACATGCTTGCTCTCCTCTCTGGGTCTTTGTGAGTGCTGTGTCTTCCACCACCACCTTTCCTCGGAAGCCTTTGTGGTCCCAGCTGGGGACATCCTGAGCTCCAGGACACCCCTGCTTATTCCTCTACATGTAACTGCTGATTTGGGGTCTGAATGCCTAAGACTTGAGTCCTAAGAGCTTTAAACTTAATTCATATTCATGACTCCCACTGACTGGAGTAAAGCCATTGAAGGGATGAAGTAAGATTGGCTTTTAGAAATTCCTCTTGAGGCCAGTGTGGGTGACAGGCAAGAAGGAAGCTGCTGGTGCTACAGTGCAGACAGAGGAGGCCATGGAGCAAGGTAGAGGAGAGGTCCTAGCTACTTTCACAAGCAGGTGTGTTCCAATCTGCACGGGTATGTTCCTTAGTGTCTTCCCACCACCTGAAGTCCTTCCCCTCACTTAGTCCCTAGTGTCATAAAGGACTGGCACTGCCCCCAGGACCAGTCCTGTGGGAGACTTTGACCGAGTGAATGAGTTACTGGTGAGGAGGCCTCATTTTCCAAGTACTATGAAATTAGTCCTTTTCAGGAAAGGGAAGGAAGGACCTTTCATATGCTGCCCTGTCTCCCTATAGCCACCTACAGGTCTCCTGTCTCCTTGCAGCTGCCTACAGGTCGGTCCCCTGTCTCCTTGAAGTGTTCCTTGCCTTAGTAATTCTGGACAGGCTCTGTGTACCTCCTACAGGACTCCACCCAGGCTGCTTGCAAGTCCTTCCTGTAAAACCACTCTTTTTGCCAGGCTTCTTGCTAGCAACTTCCTCATCCACAATGATGAAGGGTAGAATTTTTAAGACTACTGCCTACAATATTGGGTCACTCACATCACAAAGAGTGACACATGGACATCTCAGTTGGCTTTATTATTGCTACTTACAGTTAGAAAAAATTGCTAGTTAATTTCTGGGGCTTGCTTGGATTTTTAATTTGGGCTTGAATGACTCTAATATTTCTCGGCACCACTGCCCCTTCTCTCCTGACCTATATCTCCAGAGGGAGAGGAGAAAAGAGCTTTCCTTCCTTATGGTTGAATATAGATCAGCTCTAAGTTATCTACTACCCCTAAGAGTACAACAACAGTAGCACCTCACCATAGAACAAGGTTCTCTCACAGGAGTGGAGGGAGAGGCAAGAAAATTAGATGGTTTGTGAGGCCTGAGTGGGTACCCAACATCTTATTAATGGGATCCTTCCTCCAGCTACCAAAGGCCAAGGATCTGGAAGTCTCCTGTGTCCAGATGGCACCTGAGGAAGAAAGGAGGCCCTATGTGCACAGCTGGATGCTTGATTCTGAGAGGAAAGGAGATATACATAGACATGTAACTCTGAGGAAGACGACAACAGAACACTAAAAACATACCTGCACAGCCTGGCCCGGTCAAAACCTCCTGGACTCAGTGTCTGTGCCTTAGGCTCCTCAGTGGCATGGCCTTTAACAATTTTCCAAGTGACATATACTGGGAAGAAGCCTGGCTCCTCCTCCAGAGGGTCAGGTGGAGCGCTGAAATCACACTCCAGTCACTGGACCTTGGGTCCTTAGGAACAGAGTCTGTTTCTGTGGCAAGGTGTGATCCTGCAGTAAAGTCAGCACACTTTGTCTGGTTTCAGCCTTGCTCAGGCCCCTGGGAGAGGCAGAAATGGAGACACAGCTCAGTGTAAGCTCTGTCACTGCTGCTGTGGTTACAGCCTTCTCTCACACTTGGCAAACAGGTTTCTCAAGGCAGGGTTACAGAGTTTCGATTTCCAGAACAAATTCTTGGCCATAATGTGTATCAGGACATTAATCATATCATAGTGTGTACTTGAAACATAGTAAGAAAGTACAGCTGCATTATTCTCACCTACTGCTTCAAATGTGAACTTGATGGAGTTTATCATTTTACAATGTAAAATTATGAATGTTAAATGACTACCTCAAGCCATCACATGATGTATAATTTCTATTAACTATATCTTAATAAGTCTGGAGAAACTAGAATAAAATTCTCTACTGTTTCCCCCAACGCATGAAGAATTGACAGCTGAAAGCTGACAGGAAACATCAGCAGTCAGGATATTTGAAGTGGTGTTGGGATCGGGCCACAACTGGGGCACAGGTACCCGCATCACCACTCCCTTCCCCTACACTATTCCCTACTTGCTCAGGTAAATTGAGGAGTAATAGTGAAGGCACTGAGTCTAAAGTACTTCAAGCTCAGATTCATTTAGGTTCCTATACTCACTAGCAGGGGGATGGGGACAAAGAACTTCATAGTTCTCTCTCCTGTTTGTCCTGGAGGAGGAGGAGGAGGAGGAGGAGGAGGAGGAGGAGGAGGAGGAGGAGGAGGAGGAGGAGGAGGAAGAAGAGGAGGAGGAGAAGGAGAGAAGAAGGAGAGAAGCAGCAGCAGTAGCAGCAGCAGCAGAAGAAGAAGAAGAAGAAGAAGAAGAAGAAGAAGAAGAAGAAGAAGAAGAAGATTACTATCTCACAGAATGATGGAGGAAGATAAAAGTCACTGAGAAACTGTCTTTGTCCCTGGCATACATGGCTATTTCCTGAGGTTCCCAGTAGGATTACAGGATGGAGTGTGATAGCCTCTGTTGGAGAAGACTGAGTCCTAAGTGTTGCTGGGAGAAGTATCTTATGCACAATGCCCAAGACTCTGCATTTATAAAACAGGATGATAACACATGTTTACTAATCTATTGGAGACATTAAATATGATAGTAGTTAAGGAACAAGGTGCTGAAATGGGACTTCTGTTTCACTCTGATATCTGAAAATAGAGTTAAGAGACTCCAAAACATCATATTGTCTTTCCTCTTAATTACCAACCAGAAGTTGAAGGTAAGACTCCATTGTTGAAGGCATTATACACTTTGGACATAAGACATGGAGAAATTGAGCTGGAACTGACATGGATGCCTCCTCACAGTTTTTGAAAGTGCTATGCAAACTGTAAAGGGAGAAACATATCAGTAGTTCTACACAGTTGTAAAGCCTATGAACCATTACAATGACCAGCCAAACAAGATATTCCTAGTGGTGTAATAGTGACACTTAGGTTTAGTGGATAACTGACAGTCACATAATTGTGTTTGAAAGCCTGCTTAACAAAAGGGAATTTTTGCCTGACACTTTAGACATAGCCAAATACCCAAGGCTGCTAATGTCATGTACTTTTGAGAGCCTACTACCGCTCCTTTCCTAAACTGGGTTCACAATGCTATTCCTTATACTCATAGAAAAGTAAGGCTATCATGCCTCATCAATGAAGCTTATTTTTTGCATCAAACACAAACCACTAAAGAAACCCACAACTGATCAAAATGCAAAGACAACTGATCATAAAGTACCCAACGCAGCACATATACCTAAGTCTCAGGGAACATTGAGGAAGAAGGGAATGCATTGTGTTGTAAGAACCAGAGAATCAGGATGTCAGCTGTGAGATGGTGTCTTTAGTATGTAATGGGAAAACTGCACAAATGAGATCTCAACAGTGTGCCTGCAAGCTGACATGCCAACAAGGATGGGGGAAATCTCACAAGACTCTACTCCTAGGTGAAGTGCTACAAACAACTTCTGGCTGCATAGAAGGAGTTGGTCTTTTCCAGGGATGAACTCCCTCATGGGTTAACTAATTCCAAGTGGTCAGCTCTAAATACTTATACATGAAAGCCACACTAAATGGCTTCAATAGGGTGTGTGTGTAACAATTATAATTAAAGAACAGATCATGAATTTGAAGGGAGTTAATGAATGCCAAATAAATTGGATGAGGGAAAGGGGAGGGAAGAAATGATGTAAATATAGTACTTGTGTATAACATTTAAAAATTTAAAAATGAAAAAAGAAGTCTGCTGAGTCCCTTGGGGCATGCTTATGTATATGGTAACTGTCAATGGTGGAATGAATACATACACATATGTACACATACATACACCCAGTTAGTGTCAGGTAGGAGAGGTAGACTTCACATTTGAATTATCTTATAAGGCCTTCATGGGGAGAACAAGTAATTAAGAAGTCCCATTACTAGCCAGGCATTGGTGGTGTATGCCTTTAATCCCAGCACTCGGGAGGCAGAAGCCGGCAGATCTCCATGAGTTCCAGGCCAGCCTGGTCTACAAAGTGAGTTCCAGGATAACCTCCAAAACAATACGGAGAAACCCTGTCTCAAAAAACCAAAATAAATAAATAAATAAAATAAAAAGAAAAAATCACTATTACTTCCTATTAGCAAAACTAGCTATTTTCAGTATAAAACACAGACACAAAGAGGCAAACAGAAGACTGGGACTTCCATCCAAAATCATTCCGAGCAGTGAAGCAGACTCCAGGCACCTGAACTCGCTCTTACCCCATGTTTCTCTGTCTGTGAGGCTAGAGGTCCACAAACCGAATCTGTAGGTGGCAAAGTGACCCCTGGGGGTTTTCACTTTACAACCAAGGTGCTGAATAGCCTGGGCCATTCCTGACAGAAACCAGTGTGTGAGACAAGTGTCTGACCTCATATGATGTTTACCTCTCCTCAACCTTGTTCTGATGTTTTCAGTTCTCTGTGTCGTTTTCCTCAATCTCCACTTCTTTATCTGTCTTCCTTCCCCCTCACCCCTCTCATTCTCCTCGCTCTTCCTCTCCATGACCCCCCCCCCCTTAAAAATCTCAAGTTTCTACAACTATGAAGTTTCAGGGAATTTTCTTAAGAACGCTGTTGGTATCTCTGTAAACCTTTCTGAAACTCTCCAAGATAACTCTTTTAAATCTCTGAAACTCTAGATTTCTGTGAAAGTCTTTCATTTCCTTTTCTCTTTGAAACCTTACCCTCCTTGAACCTCAGAGACTCACTCACTGGTCTTCCACAGCCCACTATCACTTGGCAAATGGATTCTGCTTTCACAAACATGCTGCACTTACTTGCAACCACACTTTACAAAGATGTTAAGATCAAATCAAAACCCGAGAAGAGCGACACATTTGGGGTCAGTCTATCTAAGGTTTGATTTTGTACTCTTTATGTTACTGTTTGTGTGTCCTCTTTGGAAAAATTACTTGCGTCCTTCCAAAATCTTCTTTTGTAATATAGAGATAATGATAGTGGACATTGTGAGATTTTTAACTTTAATTTTGTTTTTAGAGACTGGGATTCTCTTTGAAACAGTTCTGGCTATCCTGGAATTCATTCTGTAGACCAGGCTGGCCTCAAACTTAAAGAGATCTGCTTGTCTCTGCCTCCCGAGTGACGGGAGTAAAGGTGTGCGCCACCACCACATGGCTATTGTGGGATTTTTGTTTTGAGGACTGGAACAATAGAGTACATGTTTAAGCTATTTGGTTATGGTTCAGAAGACAGACATAGCTAAATGCCAAATGCCTAGGTAAACATACCTGTGACTCATGATTTTTCCATGAGCAAGGAAATAAGGAATTGAATGGATGGTGCTTATGTTTTGTACACCATTTCTAGGAAGACGGAATAACTTGGAAAGTCCCTTGATAAGTAAGTTCATAGCATACCCTTCATTCTGTTCTGTTGGACTGTATTCATTCTGTTGGACTGTAGATTTGACTTTGAAAATGCAATACCAATAGTTGGACACAAGGTGGTGCCATGGAACAGGTGTCAGCATCTACTTTGCATCGAGAGAAAACAACGTTTAAATGATACGGATATTATATTATCTGTGAGCTCATCAGTCTTCAGAGACCAGCATCATATGACCTTGGTTGGATAGCAGGAAGTCTGAGCTGTCTTATGATAACACATCATTGTGCTTTAGTATGTAGACTAGTATAATTCAATAAAACCCTTCAATGACAGAAATATTCACATACACATGAATACTTGAAGTGCAGTTACTACTAATTAGCTAATTTCAAATATAAATAACCAGAATTCTATAACACTTCAGGTTTTCCAATGATAAACAAGGACTCTCCAGCCAAGACTGTCTTTGAATTTGGACATTTAAATTCAATTTCCATCCCATGTTTTCCATGGTTGCTAAGGGAGGAGAAGTGGCGGAGCATGCAACGATGAACTCATAACACTGTAATACAGTGAGCCTAATTTCAGTACGAGGTAGAAATGACTGTTGTCTTTTCCTCTGAGTGCTAATCAGGGGAAAAATACTTTCCAAAGTAGCCTAGTATAATAATATTCCTATGACACTTTGAAAATGAGAAAATCATGCTTCAATATGTCCCAATTGCTTCTTATTTGTGGCATGGAATTTGAGTGTCCATCTAGTGATTGAGTCACCCCTCTCATGTTGGAAATGTTTGATGAAATTGTAGTGGTTTTTGCTCCTTGAAGGCAGCTCTCTACCAACCCAAAAATTTAGTTGTGTGTTTGGCCAGATATTTCTTGTAAATGTACTGAGTCATCCAAACAAATCCTTTGCTAAAGAGTTGTCAGAAGAACCCCAGTGGACAACCTTTTTGAAGTGTGCTTGGATCTAGTTGGCAAGTATTTTACTCAAGATACTTGCATCTATGCTCACAAGGGATATTGATTTATAATTTTCTTTCTTTATTGTGTCATTGTGTAGTGTATGTATCAGGCTAATTGTGACCTCCTAAGAAGAATTATGCACACTTCATTGCTGCATGTAGAAGACTAAAAATAGATACATATTTTTCACCTTGCACAAAACTCAACTCAAATATAAACACAAGGCCAGATACTC